ATAAAATGATCTGCCTATTGAATTTGGTTCTCATGGGACCACACAAAGCAGAATGGATTAGATTTAACAATTCAGTACTTCTGTATTCAGATTCTTTGGGAGGGTGGGTTGCGGTTTGTTTACCCTTGAATGCATATCTTACAAGGTAGAAAGAGAGTCATTTTGAGAGAAAAAGAAAGACCTCTAACCATGTTATTTATTTGAAGTTTTTTAAGATCATTTTCATTTAAATGGCCAAATCTTATATGCCACTGATCTATTTCTTTAGCAATTGATACAGATTCAAATATTGGCATGACAAAATAAAGATCATTTTCGCGTTTAGCTAAAATTAACTGTTTTGTTATTAGAATTAATTATTTGAGCACATTTTTCTCTGAAAATTACTGAAAGATTATTTTCAGTTACTTTTAGACACTGAGAATTAAATTATTTTTCAAATCAGGTAACACAATACATTTTTGAGTTTGATATTTTCAGTTTTAGAACCTATGTTAACTTTAAATTTCAACAGTTCCTTTTGCAATAGCTTTAACTAGTTTTATCAGTAGCTAATTTAACATAAGTATCACCTACCTTGTGAATTTCTTGAAACAGTTCCCTGCTGTTGCACATATGCGATGTTGCACCACTATCCAGACAAAAAAATGTCTTTAGAAATTACTATTAGTGCATGCTACGGCTTTTTCTTGCTCCAAGGAAATTCCAAATTTCTGCAGACATCGCAGTTTCACTGAAGACGTTTGCTTTTAGTTTCTTTACTTTTCTTCCTACATTCCGATGCTCTATGCCCATAGATATGGCAGAAGTTGCATCTGTAGTTAACTGGATACTGTCTTCGGTTTGCAGACTTATCTGGTTTCGGTTTAGGAACCGGTCGTTGAGTATATATCTGATCTGATTTTCGAATAGAACGCATGTTGTGGTTCAGAAAACGATGAATCTTTATTTTTGCGAGCGTTAGCTTCTTCCAATAGTTTAATTTTCAGCATTTCTGGAGGAAGGCAGTTCATCACGGAGATTCGATTGCTATTCGAAAGCTTTCATACGAGTCCGGTATGCTATATAAAAGCAATATTGTAAGCAAATCATCCGCAATGTTTATTTCCATTTCTTTCAGTTTGTCCACAAGAATAAAAAAATCATTTAGATGATCAGTTCATTTGTTTAGAATCACTCATTTTTGTAAAAATCAATTTTTTTAGAATTGTGGCCTTTTTAGCTGGTCCCTTCGATTCGTAAATAGAATGCAATTTACTCCACAGTTCGTGAGATGTTACACAATTCTTTACTTGTGGAAGTTCACTGGTAATAAGATGGATAGGATTATATCCGCTCGTGCTTTTTGGTCAGTAGTTTTCCATTTAGCAAATTCTTCATCACCAGGTTCTGGTTTCGGAATTTTCCCAGTTACGTAGTCCCAATGATCATTTTTAATCAGTATTGCTTCCATTTGCAACTTCCACGTGTCAAAGTTGTTCCTTGTTTAACTTTTCAATTGACAACTGCATTTGTCCTCGTCATTTTGATTTTCAGGTCGACGCAGCTTGGCTTGCTGAAAGAATTTAACAATGGTGGTTGGACTGCATAGTTAAGCGCTATCTGGGCCCATAACCTATGAAGAATAAAATGACGTCTTCCACATACATGACAAACATTTATTTAAACTACGAAGACGTTGAACAGCAGAGTAGAAACATGATTTTACACAGCGCTTTGCACTTCTCTCTTACATGCAATACTCACCATTGACTTTGGCTAACTAACTATTAACTAAGTATAAGTATTACGCAGCAGAAAACTTGCTTATCATGCGCATGCGCTAGGGAAATCGACGGCGGTTGCCAACAAAAACTCCATCTATTTGTACCTCCCCTGGAGAAAACGTCGCTGATACTTTTCACCTCCGCCAGGCCCGTTTGGGACTCATTAAGGAACTGGTAAGAGCAGGAAAAGAAAATCTCCTGCTGTGGACTAGTATGTTACAAAAGTATCAAAGCTGAATAAAACTGCAGTATGCAAATGAGTGCCGCTGCAATAGAAATATTGCATCTACGAGGAGCATAAAACTGCATGCTTCAGTGCAAACCTGCAAATTGCACTGTAATAAGAAATCTTGGATTGACAATTTGTAAAGATGACCTCCAGATATCATTTGTCGAAGAACTGCAATGGAGAGCTATTGGTAGGACAAAGTCATATAGAATAGACCAGATAGCTAAATGCTCCTGTGGTTCATAAACTTTCTCAAAAAATTCTAACCACAGATTCGGCATCCAGCAGGTTCAGTCAAGAATGGCCAACGGCTACGATGAGCGCTGATGACCGATATTTGTTGTTATGCGCATAAAGAATAGAACTGCCGTTCAGTCAGTATAGTGGTTAGCGTCGCTGACTGCCGTGACGAAGGGCCTCGATTCGAATCCGGGAGAAGGAATGGATGTTTGTATAGATTTTGTGCGGCATGGGGGCACTCTAAATATGTGACGAGCCGAAAGTCCTCTCACGACATTGATTATAGGGAAATAGGGGTGGGAGACTCTAGGACCCCTTACCCCCGGGGCTGCTCTCCATCAAAATGGGGGCGGAACTGAGCTAAATTGCACTATCACCTGCAAGGTTCTCAAGGCTGTTGCCAACGGCAGGCGTGTCTTGCGCTGCTTTGCCACGAGGAATTTCGTGGGCTTGGGCTGACTATATGTCAGACAAGCGAGCATCAGCAACAACACAAGCAACAGGAATAGAACCTCAACTCTGACTCAACTCAAATGCTGCCTTGCTGCAGCCCCTGGACAGTTGATGTCAACGTCAACTTTGCGTAGAGGGCATCATGAAGGAGGTCTATTCGTAAGGCGACCAGCTGTTTGTGTGTCACTCAATATGTCCACTGAATAGCTGATCAACGGAAGACTTCTCTGTACGGATGAGTCCAGGTTTAGCATCCAAAGCGATAGTAAGCGTTATATGATTTGGATAGAACCTGGAACCCGTTTTCATCCATCAAATATCCGTGAAAGGAATGCATGCGGAGGATGCAGTATCTATGTCTGGTTTGATATCTCTTTGGGTGGACGCACAGACCTTCGCATCTTTCCAAGTGGAACCATGAACGCTCGGGCCTATAAATATGACATCCTTGATCCTTATGTCCCCTTATGTCGGGGTAATAAGCGATAATTTCTTAGTACAGGGCGACAACGCTAGTCCACACTGGGCCCGCAAGGAGGATGATTGTCTTTAGGAGCACACCAGACTTGAATCCTATTAAGCATGTTTGAGATATTTTTAAAAGACGTATAGTTGCTTTTAATTCTCCTCTTCAGACGCTTGCCACACCTGCAACTACTTTTCGCTTCCTAGAGAACTGATAGACTGAATAATTGGCAGCTTCACACTTCGCTGTATGTATTGTCTTGCTTCTAGGGGATATTATACTCCATATTGAAGGTAACTTCCTATACTAAACTGACGCACCGGATTTGTTCATATACGTATGCTAATTTCTGTTGCACCATAATAGTCTGGTAATTTCTTTTCATGTTATTTTATACCTTACTATGTGTTGTACACTGTGGATCAGTTTCAATGAATTCTACGTGTAAAGTTTTAGTCATTTTTGTGATTGTTCTTTAATTAATAATAACCAGTGTATTCACAAATTTTGGAAAATATTTTGAAATCGCTCTAAGTGCGAAAATATTTATTATTATAAATATTTATTAAAATATATGTTCAATGCAATAAATCTATCTGGCTTAGTAATGCCAACGTATAATTTAGCTATTTGTGTTTTGCTCAAAGTATTTCAAGTTATGAGGTGCATTTTGAATATGAAACAATTTTAAGATAATAGTACGCATTATTATTGCCAATCTATATTTTAATATTCAATTTTCAATAGCTATTCAATCTATATTCTAATTTTCAATAGCTATTTGTGATTATTCTTCAATTTATTACATTAATGAGGTGTGTTTTGAATGTCAAAAAAGTAGACACAACTTTGAGGCAATATTCTGCATTATTATTAACAATCTGTTCTTACATATGGCTTTATTGGAAATATCCGTTCAAACATATGAAACAGCTCAAGTATCACATATGAACAATGAAAAATAATAAAAAAGAACAATCATTTATAAAGTAAGAATCAGGATAAATGAAAATGGAAACAAAATTAAAATATTAAAAATTTTAACAACAAATAAAGGAACAAAACGGATGTAGTCTTTACAAATAGTTCATGAAATCTCTGGCATTCAAATATAGTTTACTTACCTCACACGTTTCTGAGACTCTTTATCTAGTTCTGGGCATATAAGAAAATGCTCGTCATTCATGATGTGCGAATTTCAAATTTGGCATATACTAGATGGAAGGATGCCAATTTTATTAAGATGATGTGCCGTGCAATCGTGACCTGTTTGCAGTCTGAAGTTTGCCGCAACCTCTTTATGGGGTTTTTGACAAAACTTTTTCCATGTGTCTTGAATGTTAGCCCAGGAGGCAATGTTACTGATGTCCATGATATCCGTAATTCACACATGCTTCCTGGGTTTTGCTAAATAAGTAACAACTATGGCTAAGGAGGTTCAGATTAAACCAAACGAACAATACCCCGAACCTGAATGGACTGCTTTACATTTTATTTGTCATCAGCATCAAAGGTTTGGTATAGCTATGCTCTCCAATAAAGTCACAAGCAAACTACAATACATGAACTAAAAGGGTTCATGTTTATGTATTATACGAACCTCTGTCAAATCTAGACTGAGTTTTAAAGAAACTCCAGTTAGTTTAAAATTTCAGTTCATATATTATTGTATTGATTTTTAGCTTTAAGATAATTTTCAATGAAGTTTTCCTTTCTTTGTCTGTTTATTGCTAATTGAATGCATTACATTGTGCTAGTAGATTCTAATATATAAAAATTGCTAGACAATAAAAATAGTATGAATTGTAATTATTTTAACAAACGACTATTTTTCTTTGCTTCTCAGTTATTGATGCTAAACGAGGAATTCAGTTATCACCTGTTCAGAATTTCACTATCACAGTCCGACCGCCTTCTATAGAATTCACATCTCCGGCGTCAGCGATTGATTATGAAACTACTATTATTGTAAAGCAAGGACAGTCAAAAGAACTTGGATTCAACTGGCTGTCTACGGTAGGTCACGATATGCCTGAGGATCAGCTTGAAGTTGTTCTTAGTACTGCTCCTCGGTATGGGTCATTAGTTCAGATCACTGGTGGGACTCAAACAAAAATTGCAGAAGGTAAGATTTTACGATTTAAATTTGCATTTATATAATCTTACAAAATTAAACAAATTGATTCAAACTGGAAGAGAAACATGCAAATGAAACTTTAAAAGTAGGCAGAATAGAATTCTTATTTTAGCATAGGTTCTGAATAAAACTCTAATGGTTTCGAAGGCGATCAGATGCATATCTCTTTTCTCTTAGAGTAAAACGTTCTTCAAACATTGGGAGAAGAAACAACTTTGAAAATGTTAGGAAGAGCTGGACTGAAATTTATGTCACAAACTGAAGAAGATACATTTTGTGAATGTGAAAAACTTCAAATAAAATCAATTCACCTAATGAAGAAACTTTATGGATAATTTTCACAGAATCACAACTACTGAAGAAAGGTTATAGATAAAATAATAGTCACAAGTGTGATTTCAAAGATTATAAAGGACAGCATTATTTCCAAAACTGATAAGAGTAGGCAGATCGTTATCATGAATAAAGACACATGCACTCAACTATATTTAACACTAAAAAATTCTTTTAAGTCGTCCATAACCTGAAAAATATTTCTCTTCAGTGCTGAGTTAGGGTTTCTTTTTATGTTAAATTACTGTTTGTTAAGGTTCTAATTGAGAAGTATTAAAATACCTTGAAGGTAGACTTTGAGAATTCCATTGCACAGATATTGACCTTGAGAAGTTCATATCCGTCACTAAAGTTTCTTTGAGTCAGAACCACTTTATTTTCCAAACAAATTACTATCTCCAAATTGAAAGATTAGGTATTAGCCTTTTCGAGCACTTGCTGATATTTACATGTTCTATTTTGAGATAAAATTATTTGAGAAACTATCTTTTTGGCTGGGAATTATTATGTTAATTCACGTTTTTTGACTGTAATAAACAGGATTTAACCTAGAATTTAATTGTTATGAATTGGATTGATCCAACCACCAGTCCTGAAATTGAATCTGGTAATTAATTCCCATCGTTGATATTATAACAATTTACAACCAATTCAATTTCAGCACTATCGCATACCGTAAATCGTTTTCTGTTTGTTTACTTTCCATGCTAAATCATATCACTCTGCTAAACAAACATTAGTTTATTTTTACACTTATGCATGTCATGCTTTCAAAGTTTGTTTTCAGTCTTTGTTTTCTTGCGAACTAAATTATTGTAACTAATTATCCTGTTTATTACAGTCAAAAAACTTCCTGATACTTTCAGATTCTAATTTCTCAGTTTTACATCGTTCATAACTATTTTTCTTGTCAGATGGCGCTACTTTCATTTTTCTTTTGCTCCATTCATTGCTTTCAGTATGACGTGGTTGTCTTTCCGTTTTATGAAAACTATTTTTACTGGAAGATGAACCCGTGACTGATTGCCTTAACAGATCGGTAGAGCTGTATTCAAAATCTGTGCCAAACTATGCAACTTTTTTTTAACTTCAAATGCTCGATTGAAACTTGAAAACTTTATTTCTGTTTGCCAAATGAAAAAGATTGTAAAAGATAAAATGAAGGCAACTAAATTAACTGGGAATTAGGGTGTTTGACCGCTTTTATCTTTATTTCCTTACTACCAATCATTTTTCACACTCATTAAAATTTTTTTCTTGATACTGTCAAGGCACAGTAATAGAAATTTATTGTTATTGAAGAGGACTCTATTTACGATAATAGTTATTGTTTAAGGTTAAGGCGTTCCTAATTTGCACATTTTTGCGCATGCTGGGATATATTAAAACCTAATGTAGAGAAATTATATAAAACATTAAGAATTGTTTTATTAAAAATTTCATACAACGTATTAAAATCCAAGTTCTTGCTTTGCTTCCAATATTATTTTTTTAATTTTCTCTCCACTAAATCACCTTACACCCAAATTATCTGCTTCAAAGTTGATTTTAAATCAAAATAATCATCTGTATATCCGTCGAAAACCCACATTTTTGCTATATTTTGAACAATTCTTTATTAATATTTATTTAATATTTCTCTCTGCAACTGCTTAATTATTATTACAATAAACTACATTTGACACAATTTTGTAATAACCAAGGCATTATTTCTGCTTTTTAGATGATGGATTTTCTTTCACATCCATAATCAAAGATATGTATTATGAGCATGATGGTTCCAATAACTTGCATGATAGTGCTGTGCTCACCATAATGGGTGGTCGACGTTCCTCTTTAAATCGTGTAAATTTCGAAGTTTCTCCAATTGATATTGAAAGCCCAGTTATTGTTGATTCAACAGCTTTAATGGGATCCGTTACAGAAGGTAAGGAATTATTTCATTATAATTTTGAAAGATAGGAAAAAATAACATTATATTTTTTAGAAAGTATTAAACGTTAAATCCTTCGCAATTGTTTTAGCCAGTAGGGAGGATTTTTACTTCTTTGTACGAAGTAAAGATCTGTGCTTACATACGAATGCATATATATATCTCGTATAACTCAAAAACAAGTAACCTCGGAACTTTGAAATTTTGTATATAGGACTGCTATAATTGTAGTTGTGCACCTCCCTTGTTGGATGCAATCGGGAACTCCAAAATATGTAATATATATATATATATATATACCCACTTTGTAACTCGGCTCCGTAAGCTCAGTTTTTTATCCTTATATTTTGGTAAATTGCGTATTTTTTGCTTTAAAAATGATTTAATTATGTTGTTCTTTTTTTCTGGTTGAGTTTTTTATCCTTTAGTTAATCTGCACGCAATAGTTGTAGACTTATCAACAATTTAAAAGTTGTTTAAGTGCAGCTAAGCCTAATTTTTTGTTTTACCATAGCAGCCATATTTGTTTACACTTGAAACTTAGCAGAGCAGTGAATTAAATCTTGCTGCACCTTCAGTGTCTTTTTGTTGATGAAACCAAAAGGAAACTTTTAGTTTTGTGCACCGAAAAAGCTGCCTTTTCCTTGCTGTCCGAATTGCTTGTTTTTGCGCAGAAAGTAATTTTAATTGTAAAAATTGTTTTTTAATTATTTTAACTGTATCTGGTGTCTTATGTTTTCCTTATTTTTCAATTTTTAATGAAGATATTTTGAGTTTTTATATATTTTTGCCTTTTCGTGAAGTGAGAACTGAATTAGTTGAATGAGAAATATATCTCTACTGAAATTCGAGGAAATAAAAAGTGCTTCGTATTAGCAACAAATATTGTCGCCACATATATATAAATATTGTTTGGGACACAGGAGAATGTTGACGAGTAGCGCATGCGCATTAGGTGAGTGGCGGTGAATCGTCTGTGAAAAACATTTTTATTATTATTATTATTTAATTTCTTTTATACATCGTTTTAGATTTCTTTATTGTAGCATTTGAACAGAATATGTGGCAACGATTACATAATTCTTCAGATGATATAATTTTTGTGCATTTTGAGTTATAAAATGAATGAGATAGAACGCTGTTAAGTGAACCTAGCGCCAGAGTGTCGCTATGGTAAATAAATATTGTGAATTTTAAAGAGTGCACTTATTCTGTTCGGGAGTATTGTGGTTATCGACGAAGTAGATTTAATTCATTTCAATAAGTTTAAATGAGATACAGGAAAAAATGCGTATAATTTAATATTCCGTACAAGGATATCATGTGGTGTACACATCAGATTTTTATTGTTGTTATACTCATAAATAAATGGCTCACTTTTGTTAAAGTTTGGATTTCATCAATCATTCCCTTTCGCATTGCTTCAAATGCACTGTTATCTATTTAATTTTTGGAAGTAAGAAACAAATGTATTTAATCTTCTCTACAAGAAATTAACTGAAAATATTACTGTCATTTTAATCTTAATAACTTTTTATAATGCAAATCTGAATTTAATTTTTGTAGGTAAATTCTTGGTTCTTCAGAGACACCATCTGGCATATACAGATGTGATTTCGGATGACGCTCAGATCACCTTCACCTTGTTGAAAACACCAGAATATGGTAGAATTGAAAAACAAGAGAATGATCATTATAATGCATTACGGCCTAAAGACCAATTCAGCCAACAGGATATAAATGATCAGAAAATTAGGTAATTTTACTTTACATTGTAATTTGGCCTCTTTATCAATTAATTTCAGAACATAATTAGATTTTGATTGAATTACACGTAGATAAATTTAGATTAACATTACTGTAGTTTTGGTCTAGTGGTTAAATAAAATTTTGGTTGTGCTCATAAGATATAACAAAGCACAATAATTCCTGTGAAGCGGATTCTTAATTTTAAAAGTAATATAAACACACACACACATATTTATATATAAGATAAATTATTTTTGCCTTATTGTTGCTATTATTTATTGTTTCTGTTACTTTTCTTTTCTAATATGAACAATCATTCAGCTTTTGATTTTAAAGATCTGTCTTTTAACTCGGAGGATATATTTATGTTAATACTTTGAAAAATTAAATATAAAAAGTGTTTATAAATTAATTTAAATGAAGTAATTTTTGCGAGATATAATTAATACTTCAATGAGCAGTAGCATAATCTTGCTGTGAGAATGCCAGCTATTAATTTTTGCAGAGCAGTCAATGTATGGTATTACACGTCGCTTATACTTGTTCCTCAAAGGAACTTTAAATTGTGCAAATTTTTAATTTTGAGTTAATTATTTACAGTTCTAAATTTTGTAGTATAATTGTAGCATGCCCGGCCAGCAGCTAGAAGCTAGAAGTTCTTATCCTTGTGAAGGCATCCCTGATTTTTTTCCCACTATGAAAAGCCCCATCTGTTCTACTCTAATAGCTATCATTCAACTGATGATTTTACCATTACGAAACTAATGCTTTGAATCTGAGTATTATTTTTTCTTCTGATTGTATTATGTGTTATCTTGCATAAATCAACTCTGTAACCGTAACTTTAAACTCAGATTAAACGATAATGTAAACGAAACTTATCTTTTCCGTTGAAAGTGTCCAATTGATGATTCGATGCGCTAGCAGCACGGCATGACAATTTTAATTCCAGAATATGTTTCCAGAATTTTTAACCAGCAGTCCACACCTGAAAAGAAACTAAGCCGATCTCCAGCAACTAAAAGTTAAATTCGGGAGTATTATTTATTTAATTATGGCAAAGCACACTAAGGCTATCTGCCTACGGGAAGCCTTCGTGGAGGACTTAAAATTCGGAAGTAAAAGCTTGTTAAAGCTAAACAAAAATTCTAAACATTTTGGATTCAAATTTAGTTGGGCGCCAATGTGATGTAGCCGTTCCTCAATAGACACTAATGCCGGCTAGCTTTTAAAAAAATTATTAACAGAGCACACAGGAACGGTTACAAACAAAAGAAATATACATAAAAATGAAACATATACCAAATGGAACATTTGAATAACATTTGAATAACAGAGACATAGTAACCTCTCATCATGACGGCTGGAGGTCGACTGACGTTTTTTCCGCTTCGCCACTAGATGACGTTTCAATAAAATAGTTCGGTTACAGTTCATGAGTTCATGGCGTTGAATAAAATAGTTCAGTTACACTTAAATAGTTCTGTTACAACTCGAAGTTAAGAATTATTTGCTTTTCAGTACTAATTTTATTTTATAACATTAATTAGATTTGCTAGTTATATTTAAATTATTACCATTGCTTCATTTATTTCTAATTTTAGTCACTGTACCCAGAAAGAAATTACCAGTTATTTAAAGTAAATGCTATAATAAAGAGTAAGTGTAGTTCCTGTAAGATTAATGTCCCCTTGTCGTCTTTCTACAAATTAAAATAATAATAATCTCAATATTTTGTTTGAAATTCAATAGTCTCAATCAAATTGTCAATATTATGCAAGATAAATTAGCGATTAAGGGAAAATATACACTTTTTTCTACAAAATACCCTGTGAAAACTTAAAGGTATTTTCTATGCGATCCTTCGATATATGGCGTATGGAGCTACAGATTGCAAATCTACAAAGTGTTTTGTATTTCAGAAGATATAGTATTTTTTTTAATTTAATTGCATAATTATTGATATACATTATAACTGTTTGCATGCTGTACCAAAGCTTCAGTATTCAACATGAAGTAACAGCAATTTTTATTTATTCAAGATAAACCATCATCAGTATTTTTCACCTAGTCTCAGTAGCAGAGCCCCTACCATATACTTTCCCTCCTTACTTGCGGTCCTTCTTTCAGTAGCCCAAACCTTACATTTTGAAGTCCCAAGGAACATAGCACTAAGCTCTAATTTATTTATTCCACTGATGGGCTGATGAGCACATTCCCCAGGGGACCAGCTGTTCTGTCAATGGTGAAAAGAAAGATTAAAATTTATTCTCAACAAAAAGGCGTTAAAATAGACCTCATTTGAAGAAAAATGCTTCCGTTCAAAATGTATTTTCAATGTTAAACATAAAAACGGGAGAAAATTTAAGAATTTGGAAAATCATCTGACACATGCCGCATTTATCAAATGAAATATCAATTATCTAATCCGAATAAGTATGCTTCTGAAACTTCATTCTTGAGAACCTGGCGTCTAAATTAAGAAATAGACAGGAATCTTAACTTCTTACCAAAGTGTCATAAAATTTGATACCATAATTTTCAAATTTTGAGTATGTTTTAATTTTATTTATTTTTTTTTTAATTTGCTAGTATTTAAATTGCAAGTTTTATAACTCTTGAAGTAGTAGTTTACTAATATTTTCACGAAAAAAACTCTTAAATTTTAATAGCATTCTTTTACAAAAGCTGATCTACGATTTCAGATATGTAGCAGATACCAGTATCGGTGATGAAACTGTACGAGATTTTTTGCGATTTGATGTTGCTGATGGTAGTGGAAATGTTCAACCAAATCAAGTTTTTACTATGAAAGTAAAACCTCGTATCAAGCATCCGCCAGTTGTAAAAGTTACAAGTGATGTTCAGGTAAATCAGCTTCAAAATATTATAATAAAGCCTCAAATACTAAAACTTAAAAATTTTTATATGAGAAAAACTTTATTTAAAGAAGTATACCACTTTTCTTATAAAAAACACCTATTTTTCTTATTATTTCATATTAAAACCTAAAATACTAATCATTATTTTTACCTTTACTCCAATGTTGATCTATTGCTGATACGACAGTTACTTAGTACATACGTAAATGCTGATCGAATATGAAGCCTGTCTGCAAGTTTAACTATAAGCTGTAAAATAAACACAACACACATACACGCATACATACACAGACATACACATACACAAATTATGCAGTGATGTCATTCTTAAGAACGACGTAGATGCATAAAGATGAAAGCCGATTCAGGAAGATCTAGATGCAGTCTAGAAGCTTGAGCACTTTTTGTTCTTGATAAAGACATAGATAAACTGACGAAAAAGACACGCTTTACTGTGAATTGTCGCTTTTATTCTTTTGGAAATAGCTGAAGAAAGGAGAAGCAACGGACAGCTACACCACTTGCCATGTAAAGAAGCAAAAGGAGGAAAGCTATGGGTCCAAGATGAAAATAATAAGAATAAATTCGGACTAAATCAGTTTTGGTTCATTTTTTTCCTGTTGAGGACAAAACGTTACGGTTCTCAAAACATTGGATTATTCCTGACTGAAGTGTTGTCTAAAGACTTTAAGGTATCTAAAAATCGCAAAAATGGTTCGTTTTGAAATATCGCATTTTAAAGCCATTTTTTAAAGCAGTTACTAATTTTAGGATGGACAGGGAAAACAACCAAATTATGATGGAGGAGGGTTAAGGGACTATTTCACGTTAAAGTTAAAATTTTGATTTAAGGATTTTTTTATCTTACACATATAAATGAGTTGTAACACTGTATAAGAAACAATAAAATATTGCCCAATGGGTTTCTTGCAAATAACCAGCTCACTAATTACTACAGCTAATCACTAGTAGTTTGTTTTGAGTTCAGATGTGAACGAATTGGCTTGCAAAGGATTTCTGTGTTTTTATAGCTTATGTGAGTACTATATACAGTTTTGCTTAGAACCTCCTACGTGAAGGCAACATTCCTCTTCACTTACTTACATTTTTAATTAACTAATCAACTTGCAACAATATAATAAAGAAACTAAAATGTAATAAATAAATAATCTAGAAATAAATATGAAATTAATCACTATGCTTTCTAAATAAAAATACTGAAACTAAATTCTAATTGCATGCTGCTTTTGTGATTGACATTACGAATTCTGTATTTAACAAGATAATTTCCTATGGCAAAGCCTGTAGTAGCTGTATGCCTAAACTCCTCAATTTTGACTCAGAAAATGTTGTCTGAGAGACTTAATCCCTATTACCTTAGCCGCAACGTTTTGAGGGAACTTTCAGGTCGATTAAACTTTCTCGAATCCAAAAGCTAAGTATCCAGTCATAGCTGTCCATGCTTTTTCATTATTTATTAAGATTCGAAATGAGCCGAAGATAATTCTAGGAAATAATGGCTGGAATTCCTGCATCTATGTATGTATTATGAGCCGCAACAGACTCAAAGGAAATGATCATTTTGCTTTGTTTTCAATATCATCTCTGAAAGATGATATAGTGTTTTGACAATTACATTTTCAGGTAACCAGGGTTTAGCATTGATGACCTTCCAAACTGTATTTGGCGACGTTTCCTTTTGACTGATAACCACATTTAGCGACATTTTACAACTCTGTAACAAAGTCTTCGTTAAGTAGTGTTATTAAAGTGAAAGTTATAAAATGTATCATTTTATTAATTTTTAGTTTTTCTTATGACATTTTTATGAGAAAAGAAAATAATTTGAAAGCGTTAAGTAAATATGAAACAGAAAAACAATTAAGATTTCTCTGCTGAACGTAATAAAGTAAGAAATCTAGATAGTAGGCATATACCCTTTTCCCATAACAAAATGTCTTGTTTTTTCTATGGAAAAAGTATTATGAATAACAAAACATTTTTACTTTATTACTGAAACTCTAGGTTAATGAAGGGGGAGAAGCTGTTATAGAACCACATATTCTGACAGTTTTTGACCCGGATACTCCACTGTCTGATCTCATAGCTATCATAGAAAAGCAACCTGACTATGGATTTATAGAAAATTCAAAACCTAGTACGTATTTCTTTATTTTTAATGAAAATAATAAATTTTTTAATAATTATATAAATCCTTAAGCCTTATATAGTTACTGTATATAAGTAAAATTCTGCTATTTTTTCGGTAGCTGTTCTGTACGTGTTGCCTTCTTCTCCGCGATAAAATTATTGTCTTAATTAGATCATTGCTAACATATGTGCGCAATACACAATTCTGGTATCTTTGTCTGCATTCATCAAATGCTGATTAATCTGTATCTTGCTTTCGGAGACAGCAACATCTGCAAAATTAGTCGTCATTAGATTTTTCATCGCGGAGACCGAAAAACTATGATGTTTTCGGTCCAATGTCTGAGAATGCTTCGCATCCGCTAAAAACTTTTAACAGTGATAACATAGCCACATTACTGGGTGGAGGCTTTTGGAAATACTTACGGAATTTATTTACAACCTATAATAAACTTGATTCATTTTTGAGTTCGATTCCATAAAAGCATAAATAATACTCAAGAATATCAATTTGCTTCTGCTCAGTAAGAATCAATTAAATTTACTCTTTAATGAGATAATTGCTTCCTTTTCATCGCGATAATTAATACATCAATTACAAAGAAAGCATGTGCACGTACATGCTCGGCGCGTAATCTAGTTAGCACCTGTTCAAGAACTATACCTTCTTCATCAGAATTTTTTTAATGAAACAATTATGAGATCGATTTTGACTAATTTTGTGGTTTCTGAAAATTCACAGTATTTTTCGCCTCATTCATACATGCGATATTTTTCCGTCTTCAGAACCTTACAGAGATCTTCCGTGAAATTATGCGATCATTAAATGGAGACCGACTCATTTGGTAATTAAACACACATTTCGCAATTACCTCAACTTTTGAAATGCGTAATGGATTTCCTTTCTTCATCCACTACGCACTTATGAAGAAAACTGCCCAAGCATTGGGTATCCTGAGCACTAAAGATAAATTTGCCAATTTTAATAGATCTGAACACATACATATTATTCACAGAAATAACACTTAATCTCTTTTCGCCAATTCATATTTCAGATTTCTTTGTTATCAATAAGGATTGATTCTTCGACTTGCTTTATGAAACAAAATTGATTAAACTATGCAGAATTGTCTGTTGGAACATCTCTCTGTTTCAAGACTATTATTGTCTCCCACAGGGCTCATAAATCTTGAATTATCTTGAGAAGTAACCGTAACCGAAGGTCAGCATTCTCACAAAAAAGACAGAGACCTATGCGAATGTGTGGAGGCAGAAGTTTTCAAAAGGGAAACGTTTGGGAAGAAAATAATTTTCCCAACAAAAAGAACGATGAGTTTATCTCGTCTCCTATTACATATCACAAATTTTCCTTCGGGAAGCGAAAAACGGGACAAACTGACGCCTCGAAAACGTCATTTTGAGACAATAAACACTTTCATCCAAAACCGGGATGTCTGGCAACCGAAGTCATGACTAATATTTTATATAATACTTTGATTGATGCAATAATATATAATACTTTGATTGGTGCAAATTGAAATTCTGTCTCTAGAGACTGAAGACAAAGCTTAAGTCTGTGTTTCTGAAATATCTTGTGCTAGAATCTTGAAAATATTAACTATACTAGTTTCACAAAGATGGATACACAACACTTAACATAGCCTCTTTTGGAATATCAATCATATGTATAATACCAGTTATTTGACAATGCATATTAAAATAATTCGGTACTTCTGTCTTAAACTGAGACAAAGAGCTCGGATAAGGTTCTCTAACTCAGCATGGCTATAAAAGCATAGCAAAAGCTAACTAAACATTTATGCTTATTTAAAAAACAAAGCTAAGGAAACGGACAAAATAAATAAATGATCTTTCAAGAAAGAGTCTTTGTTCAAAGGAAGATATTTTGAAGAGCTCATAAAACTTATGAATGGTGAGAAAGGAGTGGAAGATACTTGATGCTGCAGCAAAGCATCTATTGTATTAGAAAATGACAAACATTCTGTTGCGTTTTTTGGATGAAACTTCAAAGCACACATATGTGGTAAAGATGTGTTTATTAATAAAAAATGATAAAGTTTGATTGGGTTACTTTATCTCAACATGATAAAAGCTGAAGTACATTGTCTGCTAACTTTGTTGTGTTTAGAGTCAAAACCTCTGACTACATCCTGTTTTGCATGTCTGCTTCCCATGCGTGATGCCTTCCAGAGTATAAAAAAAATTGTTAATCAGTTGGTAGTATATTTGCACCCACCGTTTCCATTCCAGAGCGATAACTGTAACTTGAATAATTTTTTCTTTGCGCATTTTGACATGATCATGTAAGAACTGTTTTTTTTTTTTCTTGTTCATCGCTATTTCTAATGCAAGGAAAATTATATGCAATAAAATGGGCGACTGCAAATCTCATCCGTAATTTTTTGGCCATGAGGAAATAATGGCTTTCGAAATTTGCTATTATTCTCAGCATAAACTTCTTTGGAAGAAGTACAGACTATGCTGGGAGAAAGATGATAAATGTTAAAAAGTAGTTTTAAAAATTATTTTTAACCTTCTTGAAAGTTACAGGTATGTAAAGGAAGCTTCTGCATTATTCACAGATGTTTTCCCGACCCATTGGATATACCGTATTTGACGGCATATAAGACGCACTTTTTTTCCTAAATTTGGTCTCAAAAAAGTTACCTGCGTCTTATACGTGAAGGTAATTGCATTCAATAATTGTTTATTTGGCTTTTACGAAACGTGAGAACTAAAAGAAACCATTCTATTGAAACATTTTTTCCTTGTGTGAGGCCGTCTAAATAAGGGTCCGTCTTATATGCCGTCAAATACGGTAATTCAACAATTATTCGCAGATCGGAATTTTTACAACATTTTTGTGCAATGCGATTAATTACTGTATTATTTTTAAATGCAAAGCTGATTTTTCGCATGCCTTAAAGAAGTCTGAGCTTCATTTTTATTTGTACAACATTTCAAGTAACAGTGTTCAAAGATACAATTAAAACGCTCTTCCATGCAATGAAATTGAACTAAACTCTGAACCATGATGTAAGCTCTATCTGTGAATTGCCAGACACATTTACATGTACCATGTACATATATGCATACGGTGTGACGTCAGCCGTTGCAGCGAGTACGGCTGAAAATCAGCTGAACTTTTTCTGTTACGTGAAACAACAGTAGTTATATCATTACAATCAAATAAATAAATTCTATGAAAAGGTAGAATGATATCTGGGAATGCTGTTTAAAAGTTTCTTTAATGAAAGGAATTGCTCTTGATCTCTCAGAACATACAAATCTTGTTGTAGCCCACTTCAAGCTAATGTCCGTACGCAATACATTTTAGTTATACAGCATAAACTATCAAAGATTATGATATCAAAATGATAGCAGACTTTATCCTTTGGTTCCGTCACTATGTACTTTCTACGTATTAGACATCTATTTGCATTAGTTATTGACGTGGAGAATGCCGTTTTGAGTATCCCTAATACTGTCTCGTGAAAAGCACTGAACACAGCGTCCGAAGATAGAAAGAAAGGATACGATAAGCCGATACTTTCAAGTTGAAAAGACTATTTTGAAAGTATGTCGGTATAAATTAATTCATTGCCTTGCACTTATACCCCGTGTAACGGTAGTCTTGTTACTGTTCCTACGTATATTGCCTTGCTTATGAATGAACGCAGTTTTATATTTCTGCGTGTGACTTAAGAAAATATCAAATATCTCCATTTTTTACAAATCATTAAGAAATTTAACTTGAAATTAAACTCTAGCACAGTTTCTAATTCAATACATGTGATTTAGTCCCAGGTGCTGAGAAAACTTTGGATGGTCTACCGATTTCTTCCTTTCCTTATGTTGATCTGGTTGAAGGATTTATAAAGTACATGCAAGGAGGTCACAAAGGATTAGAACCTGAGAGAGATACGGTTCATATCCGGATAACTGATGGCCATTTGTCATCTAAAGTACATGTGGTAAACATCACCATAAAGCCTATGAATGATGAATCACCACATATATTTACGGACAACTTATTCGTAAAGCAAGGAGGCTACGCAAAAATAAAAAATTCCACTTTATTTATAGCTGACACAGATACCAAACCAGAAGATCTCGTTATCATTATTGATAAAGCATCTGAAAAGGGTAAGTTATTTTTATCATTTATATTATTGAAGTAGGTACAAAAGATAGATTTCTTTCCAATTTTCATTTATTATCGCAAATAAATATATAAATCAGAACTCATTTCGCTTATAAAACAGTCAAACGATTATAGTTTTGGGTAATTCAAATGGTAATTTTCTCAAACATTATATTATTAGTTTTGGCAAAATTTCTTAGTCATGCCATTTTACTCTCAAAAACGAAAGACAGACATAAACGCATGACCTTTGAAAATTGAATTTTTCAGTTATTTTTATTTTTGTTGAAAGAAAAACATTCAAATTTATTAGTAATAATAGATATTATTAGGTTTAATTGTAAAATACTCTTTGATGAATTAGACTGTAATTCGAAATTTTCGAAATAGAAATATTTTTGCTTCTAAAGGAAAGGGGACTTATGTTACCCTGAAGATCGATACATTTTTTTAAATCTATTCCTATCTCAGGAATTCTATTTTAATCTATTTTTTCAATGATTCTTATTTCACAGAAAAACATGTACGAGTAATGTACGGTATTCCCCTTAATTCCTCATTTCAGTATGGATATTTCCCTTCTTTATTCTAAACCTAGAAATAAATTTTTCTAGAGTGCATCATTTTTGGATTAATCCATATAAGACTTTTACACCACGATGGTAGCGTAGTTATTACGAACCGAAACTTTAGAAACTTTGATTTAAATAGTATTAAAACTTTGATTTAAATAGTATATACTATAAATGTTGCTCAATACCTTTTGAGCAACTGGTCATAGATCCTTCATCCCAAATTTAAACTTTCAAACTACGATAGTTTTGGTTCAGTGACAGCTTTTAATAAAAACATGTAAACTTACATGTTTAATTTATGGGGGATTGTTAAAAACAGTTTTTATTGTTACGAATTAATGAAATAAAATTAAATCCAATGTCATAAGAGCAAAATTACATGAGATATCATTAATTTGAATTTTCATCGAGTAACTGGGAGGAGCATGAATGACATGTAACTACTAGAGATTCCTGGAATGTGCCTTTTATTAAGCGAAACATGAATGTTAAAAAACTTTTTGAAACTTGAATTTGCACAAATCTAAATATCAGAAATGTGTACGAACACAATGCAGATTTATACGATCCCTGAAATCTACGCTATTATCTTTGTTTTCTTTGGGTGTAAATAGTTTTGTCATGCAGTTTCAGTAAATTTTAAAACAATTTTTAATATTAATGAACCAGATTAAGAAAACAATTCGTAGTACAAGGAAAAATGTATTAGTTATAACGTTTCCTTAGAATACACGTCTAGAGTTTTCATTTTGTGCGAAATCTCTTCGGACATTTCGTAAATTTTGCAAACATGTTTCTTGAACTGCTCCAGAAGTAGGTAACTTTCAATATACTCCCTTCTGATATATATGTAAATAAAAATTATAGCTTAAATAAGAAATAAATCCCTTAATTCCTCATTTCAGTATGGATATTTCCCTTCTTTATTCTAAACCTAGAAATAAATTTTTCTAGAGTGCATCATTTTTGGATTAATCCATATAAGACTTTTACACCACGATGATAGCGTAGTTATTACGAACCGAAATTTTCTTTTAAAATAAGCTTCCATATTGGATAGCTACTCACTTTGCTTTTGCTCTTTTGCAAAGCTAAACTGCCACTTGCTGCTTCTCTTACTACCACGAAGCTATATAGAAACTATAAATGTTTTGAGTTAGTCACGATTAAAGTGACAAGTGGATTGTGGCCACAATGTCAGTTGAAATAAAAATGAATATTTACGTTGCCTCGGTACCAGTTTGCGGTTCATTATGGATAAATATCTACGAAATCAGTATTTCTATATCATTACATCATTATACATACACATACTCTAGTCTGCTTTAGAAAGAACGCTTCTTTTCGGGGCATTGCAACTCCACTATAGTCGATTCTGTAGCGAATTTTTATTAGTATCATCAATGGATTTAAAATAGTGACCTCTGAAAACGGATTTTGGTTTCAGTTTCGGAACGGTTACAGTTTTAATAATTCTGCACTCAATTATTTATAGCAAGTGAATGAAATTATTCTATAAATATCTCTAAAAAAGAAAAATGTCAGAAGAGATTAATGCAATGCAGGATTCCTGCATTGCATGAATTTCATTTTAGCACCAAAAATGTATGTCATTCAAAAGGCTTGTTAGAAAATAGGGAAATATTTAAAATTATATTGTTCTTATTTTAGAGTGTTTAATAATAGGCTTACCGTTTGTAGCTACTTGATAATAGCATGCATTCAGTGCTAACTTATCTCTTACTACCATTATTTTTACAATAAGAACTGTAGACAAGAAAAAAAAAAAAATTTTATGTACATAAAGTTTTATCAATGATAGGGAGTTTTCTTAACCAGTATCCTCAACATGTAGACCTTCTCTTCCAAGAAAAGGTTGCTTTACGTACTTCATCTTCTTCCATAACACACCTTCAGTAGTGTCTTCCATAACTACTTAACGCATCTTTTTTCTTTGATGCGTTATCTTTTATGGATGGACCTCGAGTACCTTCAACAGAAGTTTCATATCAGGTTATTGCACTTGAAATTCTTCGTGCATTTTCTGATGATCTAGCACCGTCAGTTTCACTTTAAAACCCTTTTCGGATAACGCATTCACTCGAGAAGCAATAATATTTACTGTATCACCAACTTGGGTTTTTCCAATTTGTTGACCCTTGTCATAAATTTCATCATCTTCCTCCTTTCGTTGTTACTGTCGGTAGGCACTGGTATTGAAAACTATTCAGTTAATCAGTCATCCACTAACTGACCACCTTTTTTCACAATATAAACTTTTCCCTATCCATTTTATTATATAAACTTATAAACAATGCATAAAGCCAAAGAAACAACGTAACATGCGTTGCAAAGAGCTGTCAACTGATTTATATTGATGTGTCACCCGACACTTAGTGAATGCATTGCGTTGCTAATCAGCAACACATAATTTTTTATACCAAGAGAGAGTTAAATTAAGAACAAAAATATCATTTTTTCATTTCTCTGTATTTCTAACATGCATACATAATGTTAAGTAGTTTTAAAACAGCAAAAAGCATATCATTTCTAAAATATATTATGAATGCGATGTCCAAAACGATAGCACTGGCTACCAGACCATCAGTTACATTCATGAGCAAATAAAGCATATTGCGACATCTATAAATATAACAATGAACAACGTGTCAAAATATTTGTTAAGATTCACTAGATGAGTATATTTCCAACTGATAACAAGAGAGGTGCATGTACAAAGTAATCTAAGTTTATGTTGACAAATACATGTAGTATGTATCAGTGTCAAATATATCATGCATAAGATTTTAACTTTTATAGAAAAAGCAAAGAATCAATCCAAATATAGTTTAGTTTCAATGATCCAAAACTGAAGGAATACACCCCTAAAAATACAAATGTTAAAAATTCGACCCTGAATCAGTATCAGTTTAGAATAGTGCGTTTCGTTATTTACTTTGAATTTCCGTTTCCGAAAACCATTGCACCAAACATTTCGGTTAACTGAAGTTCAAGTAATTGATGGTTCAGTGTTAATTCACAGCATGGCAATTAAGTAATCAGAGTGTATTAAAAAATCCTTGCAGAGTTTACAATTGTGAAATTAACCGTCTTTATATAAATGCGACAAGTAATTAAAGAGAAGGCTTGTAGAAGTCTGGCGTGGCGCAACTGTAAAACTGGAATGTCGCATTCTTTTTATCTTTTCCATACCGGAAAAATATTTTCCTTTGGAAAACTTTGGATTTTGGAGAATGAAAATCATAACAAGAAGACAAATCTGGAGGACATGAGGGATGACTAAGTTCACAAACTTATTTTCAAGACGGAGTGGCTCTACGAAGTGGTTATCGAGCAGCGGAAAGATGCATCATCGTGCAGTAGAATGGCTTCTGACTAAATAACAATAACTTCAATATAACATTAAATATTATATGCTTAATTCTCAGCTCTTTGAGTCAGCAACTCATCCAAACTGCAGTAACGTTAAAATTGCAGCATAGTTTTGAAAGCAGAGCTTGTAAGATAAACTTAATGTGACTTTTTCTAAATACATATTTAGTCCTCCCTGACTGAATCACTCAGAGAAATAATCATCCCGTCTTTAGCTTAGTTTCCAAGAAAATCAAATGAATACAATAATAACAAATGTAACTTAACGTTCATTTGTATTACGGCTTGGAAGTTTAAAAACTAACTTGTTAACAAAGCTCTGCTGTTTGTGCCTGAGAATATAATAATAGTTTAAATATTTCCAAATCAAATAGTAAATTAGAATCTGGTAACCATGTTTCTTTTATTAAGCGGTCTCAAGAGTGGCTGAGCGGTTAAAAGCTAGATACTAGTAGTACCCGGAGTCCAATCCAGGTAAACGAGCTGGCTGGATGGCTTTTCGTGATTCTTCCCATGTATGCAGTGAATACGAGCCACTTTTTCTTGGTAAAATTCTTAATTAAGTCATTTCTTCTGTTATGAAAATAACCTGTATATAATTAAGACACAATAACACGCCGAATAAATACTAATTCAGAAGTCAAACAACAAAAATCAGCGTTAATTTACAAACTTACTTCTGAATTAGTAACCTGTATATACTTTGCCATATTTAAATTTAATCAACTTAAATTTAAACTTAATTTAATTTACCCAGAAAATCACTGAAAACGCTGTGGTAATCCAATTGGGAGAAATACGAGAGATACATCGCCAGTGGCTGAATTATCATTATTATCTTTCTGAACTTAGATTGTCATTTTGATTAAACTTTAATTTGAATTATGAAAGAAAAAATTAATTAAGTTTAATTTAAAAGTCAGTATTCTTAAATATATGCGAAATTTAATTAACAGTGTTGAGTAAACGTTCTTACTGCTAATTTACAAAAAAAAAAAAAAAAAAAAAAAAATTGCTACTTTGATTTTTACAAAACTTTGCATTTCGGCATAATGCGAGTCATAGAAGTGAAATATGGAAAAAAAATTGCATGTCATTTCAGAAAATGTCTGAGTTTGTATCAAAATTCCCATGTTAGAATAACGCTAGCTATAAATCTAATGTATAGCCTAAGTCGCGCTTTCAAGATATGAAAAACGTGAATTGAATTTCGACAATCGGGCGAGTAGAACGGGAGATAAAGAATTGTCCCTCCACTCAACTTGAAAGAATAGTTTGAATATAGGATCACAAAAGATAACTCCTCTTACATGTCGTTAAACAGTCGGCTTGGCAGGAAATAGAAACTTATTCTCGACAACTGAAGAACTCCCTAACTCTCTTGATAACGCTAATACTTATAATACTTAACGACGCCGGTTTCAGAACAAGCTGTTAAGAAACATGGGAAATGCCCCATGGTTTGAGCATAATAGTATTATTTTAAATTATCTAAATATGATTCATTTGCAGGATTATATTTTAACGATTTGCCATGACATGTTTAGTAAGACCTCAGAATTTCCTGAAATTGCTACATCCACGGAGAATTTCATTGAATATTATTATTTCATCATCATATTATTGAATACCAAAAGGTATTGGTATTCAAATTATTATTGAATACCAATACCTTTTGGTATTCAATAATAATTTGAAGGGTTAAAGACCATCTCGATTCCAAGGGCAGAAGGTTGACCAAGAGTAAACCAAATATTCCTAACTTTTTAGTTTTCAAATATTATATAATTTCTTTGTGTTTGTAAATTTCCAGAGCACTCAGCTGATTCTATTTAGTCATTTATATATACCTCATTAACTCAGTGTTTTTCTGTACATCTACCAATGACTACAATTGAATAGAGACTGTATAATTTCAAGGGAAATACATTGTTTTCTATTACTTTGCGGTGTCCCCAGCTTGACAGCAATATTTTGCAGTAATGTAGTGTGTCGTTTCGCTTATTATTGCGCATTTTTTGCCATTTCTCTCACAGCATATCTCGAGACTCTGGTCAAAATCTGCGGATGTTTATAGACCTGAAATATTTTCTAGTTCATGTTCGAGAGAGAGCCTTGGCTGCTAACGCTGATCAGTTATTCGGTTACAACTCCCTGGCTGCTGAAGTAGTTATCGGGTCTTGGTCCGCTAGCTCAATTACTTTGTGAAATTTTGAAACTCAACCAAAGCTCAGTAGACGCGTGGTACTTTGCAATACTTAATATTTTAATTTGACTTAAATTTTCTTTTAAATTTTCGGTATGCTTTGAGATTGTATTCTGTTATATTTTTGAATTTTGTTCAACCGTCAAGCTGACGTATTAATAAAAAGATTTGCTTTAAATCCTCATCTGAGTTTGCATTTACTATATTAAGAAATAAAACTGGGTGATAAGTCACCTATCTGTCTTAATGGTTCTAAGAGTTGACGTTTAAAGTATGGTGGAACCGTACAACTTAACCGGATGCGAAAACAAAATCTCATAATGTAATAAGCATAATGTATCAAAAATAAATGTTAAGATTTAACATTTCTTTCGAATATCATTTATTGCATTTTTAAATATTAAAAATTTGTATTTGAAATTTAATTTAGCGTAGAAAAAACAATGCTTATTAAAAAGGAAAAATGTTGTGTAAGATATGAAAACATTTGAAACATTGATCCCCTTGTATATTCAAATTCAAGTGTCGTATAGCTTAGACCGGAAACAAGGTTCTAGGACCAATTGTAGAAGAGATACATATTAAGTATACAAGTCGTTTATAAATGTACGTATAATGAAATTGCTTTCTTCGCAATCATTAATTAACTAATTATTATTTTATGAATTTTCCATAGGATCTCTTAGAAGGCTTCAACAAAATAATTACAATTTTCTGCAAAGTGCAACAATTTTAAATCAAGATACCTTTACATTTCAGGTAAAAAAATCTTTCTAAACTTATGTTGTGCTTTTAGAAGTGTTGTTTATTTTTGCAAATGTCTTAAGAACAGTTTGATATTTCCATAACTGTTTCTTAAAAATATATTACACTGTTGCAGTTAGGAAAGAAAGTTGTTATTCAGCCTGTAAGGATTATGTTAATTTTATTAACAGTTAAATTTTAAGTTTCTTTCCTGTCAACTTCTTAACTTCAACTTACTACTTCCGCCAGAACGTAGTTTTGGAATCTTTCTGAATACTTAATGAGGAGGAGCGGTATTTAAACCACGAAGTCTACTTACAGAGTTATTAGAGAGAATTAGAGTTTCTGGTTTACGCGCGTCTGCCTTTTGGCTACTCTCTCTCTCTAAGCTGTTATTACGTTCGGCCGTACTCAGGCCTTTGATAAGCTTCGTAGTCAAATAGAGTTAAGGGGCCAACTCGGTTAGAATCTTGATATCTTCGGCTATATTTCTGTAGTTAATCTTAGTTTTAGTTTAATTTTTAGTCTCTTAAGTTCAAGCCCAAGTGTCGGCTTTGATTGTACACTCCAAGATGGAGTTTTGTTAAATCTTATTGGAATAATAAAGGGTTAGTTACCCTTCCATCTTGTTGTTTCTTGTTACACGAACTTAAGGATTATTCATTAACTAGTTCTTAAAATTCGTCACTTTCTAGAGTAACTGAGAATTACACTAGTGAGAATTTTACAAGCCGTTTTCTTACTGTTGTAATAAAATATTTTTATATTTTTACTTTTTTAGTGTAATTGTTTAGTAAAATTTTAGTGTATACACACTTTTTAAAAAAATATTCTTAATGATTCAAAGCAAGACAAAAGCACTGTAGATGAGGTTAAGATATGTAATATCACTATAAAAGCAAAAGAAAAAAAGTAAGCATTTCTTATTAGTGACGTTTTGACGATCCGATGAATGGTCATATCTAGAACCAAGTTAATTTTCTAATCATAAAAAGTACTTCAATGTAGATTAATTAAACTTTTACGGACAAAGCACATCAAAGTAATCAGCCTTAATAGAGATGCCTTCATTTAATACTTTCTAGGCAAATGGTTTATATTACATTACATACAAAAAAACCTCTTCAGTCTCCGGGAAATGAACTTGAGATGAATTACCTCATTCAGCACGCTTGTCCTTTCTGCTACTGCCGAGCATAAATGTCAAAATATTTGACTATTTCAGAGAAAAATGAAATCCCCTTTTCTTGATTTTATGGTAATTGGAAAAATATTATCTAAATTTTATCAGTTAATCGAGAAGTGTATTGCAAATTAAAATTTACAAGACGCTTTATTTACATTTATGCTACGACCCAAATAACTCAACGCATGTATACGATGGAACTGTGTGATCAATCGGATAGCTGAAAACACACAACGAGGTATACATGTTAGTTCGTTTAAGATTGTATTCCGCCATACCGTGTGTGACCTTTCGTACACTGTACGTGCGTACATAATGAACGCAGAAATAGTTTCTACCATAACTAAAGATAAAATAGAAATATTAATGTTAAACTGATCTTTGTTTTCAATAATCAGACAAATAGAGTTAAATAACAGCTAATAATATAATAACAGCTTAGATAAATTCTGTTCTGAATTTTAAAATATTTATAACAAATTATGTTAAAAGATTTTTTTTCAGTTTCTTAAGGTAAATGATATTTTAAAAAACGTCCGTGTTATTTTTCTTTTCATTATGAGTTTCTATGCAAGAAGTTGGAATCTGAGTGCCAATAATCGAAAATATTAAGGATACCAATCCGAAAAATGGATATGCCTGTGGAAGTTTAAAAAAATCTATAATTAATTTTGAGAGAAATCTTTCAAACTATGGAATGTATGGAATATGTCAATATGAAGACTTTCGCATTGACATTCTATCTAAATTTTATCGTTTTTCTTTAAAATAAATCACTAATGGCTTCAGACTTGAGCTATCCGAGTTATGCATTTTTCAATAACAGCATTCAGGAAACAAAATGATCAGTAAAATGTTAATATTGGACATGGTGCTTGCACATCTAAGCAAGAAAAAGCATCCCTTGTGTTTCACTGTTTTTATATTCGAAAATCCAGCTACCACACAGAGGTAGAAAATTCGTCATATATGAAAATGGGAAGGAAAACGCCTTGATATAAATGATATTGAAAAACTAGTGTTTTATTTTTCTTAGAATGTTGATGCATTTGTAAAATACTAAAACAAAAAATATTAATTCTGATATCTACTACAAATAAAAGGTCAAATTCAAAAGAATAAAATGTATTGTGAAATTCTTGACTGCATACATCAATTCCTATTGTCTTTGTAAAATAAAATGAATGAGTGAAAATACATTATGATTATTCATTTTCTACCATAGTTTCCAGGTACGGTTTACATTTATGAATTTGCGAAAGAAAAGGAATCAGCAATATTTGTTAAAAATGTATCACATTTTCGTAAATATAATAGTTGACTGTTCCTTGGCCTGACATTTATTTGCCACGTGGATAAACGCAGTAGCCTCTTCTTTGGCTTAACAGTGGCTGGCTAAGTACACTCATGTCCATAAATTAAGGATAATTCGGAGTCACCCGGAATACGAACTCTAAAATAAATATATCACCTGTAAAATCACTACACACATCTTCAAGAATCATATCCAAATTTCAGGAAGTAACCAGATGACACCGATGGTACGTCACAATGACAAGAGTGTAAGAGAGTGATATATAAGGAATACAGGCAAAGAAGTAAAAATTGTTCGCAGGCGCTTTATAAGCATTTCAGTGCAATAACCGAATAGTTATGACACAAGGGACGCATTGGATGATTTTTTACGTGGTAGAATTATCGGCCGTCTGGAATGTGGGCGTACCCAACTGGAAGTATCAGACGAACTTGGAATTGCCCAGAGTGTCATTTCCAGGCTTTGGTAACGATTCCAAGATCATGGTAATGTGAGTAGACGTTACAGCACAGGTCGCCCCAGAGTTACAAAGCCGAATGAGGACCGGTATTTGGCAGTTACTGCCAAAAGAAACAGGCGGAGCACAGCCTCAGACCTGTCTCGTCAGCTCTCTTTAGCCACTGGTACGACAATTTCAAGGCAGACCAATACAGACGCTTAGGGCAGTTTGGTCTATATGCTCGTAGACCTGTCAGATGCGTTCCACTTACTGCAACTCACTGTCGCCTGCGGTTAGCCTGGAGTAGAGAGCATGCATTGTGGACACCACAACAGTGGGCTTGTGTGATGTTTTCCGACGAGTCCAGGTTTAGCTTGCAGTCTGATTCTCGCCGGACTTTCATATAGAGAGCTCCAGGTACCCGTTACCACCAAGAAAACATCATTGAACGACACCGTTACGGTGCAGGAGTGCTCGTTTAGGGTGGAATTATTCTGGGTTCCTGAACTGACCTGCATTTTCAAATTAGAAGCATGACAAGCCAAATCTATCGGGACGTCATTCTGGAACATGTACGTTTGTTTCGGGGCGCCATGGGCGCACAATTTATGTTTATGGATGAGAACGCCCGTCCTCACCGTGCAATCGCGTCATCATAAGCGAATGCCTTCAATCGAAGGATATCACCCGTATGGACTGGCCAGCATTCTCACCGGATTTGAATCCAGTAGATCACGTGTGGGACATGCTTGGCCGACGAGTTGCAGCCCGTCAACCTCCTCCTACATGTCTACCGAAACTTCGGAGAGCATTGCTTTTTGAGTGGTGTAATATCCCCCAAGATCAGATCGATAATTTGATACTCAGCATGCCTAGGCGTTAGGCGTTGTACGAACTGTATTGCATCGTCTGGGAGTAACAATCATTAAAATAGTTTTTTTTTTTTTTTTTTTTTTTTAATTTGCTCTAGGGAGAAAAAATCGCTAACTTTTTAATAATATTAAACATATAGCATTGTAAGGATCTTAAGTTTTACTAACGTTTATTTTATTTTAAATCTTTACTATCACTTCTTATTTTCTACTTCCGGCCAGAATTATAAGCGTGAAGGTTTTTATGCAAAGTTTGTCTGGCGAACGCCAAGTACTTGGCTGTGGCTTTTTGCCAAGCAAGAGAGAGGAAGCAGTGAGTTCGAAGCAGGCCGCTTACCTTAGAAGTTACGCAGTTGCTATTTGCCTTCCAGGCCGGAGGTTTTAATCCTCTTGATAAATTAAACGTATTGTAGTGTTCACAGTCTCTGTGCTACATACGCTTCCTGTTATTATAAGGCCAATCTTCCACGTGTGTTATTCTAAAGTTAAATTAGAGTTTAGTTTTATTTTTATACCTTTTACGTTAGACCCCGAGTGGAGGGTCATTGTATTCCGAAGTACGGAAGTCATTGTATATAAAGAAAAATAAAGGGTTTTGTATACCCTTCGTCTGTATCCTGTCTACTTACTACAATTAGTGAACATAGCTTTAGTAAGCTCTCTGTTCCTAGTCAGGTCCTTGTATGTTCCCGAAAAAGATTAGAAGAAACATTGAACCTGATAGTGGCGCCCAACGTAGAAGAATAACCATGGCCGAGTTTCAAGAAGAACCTGTGCTGCCTGCAGAAACGGCTCAGAATCCAGAAATGCCAGCTGCCGCCCTGGAAGGATTTGGGTACATCGTCCAGACCATGCGCGCTTCGATGAAACCAGAAGCAACATTTAATGGAAACTCACCGGTAACCAGTTTTTTGGAAAAATTGGATGACCACTTCATGCTCTACCCCGTGCACGAGTTTCAAAAAGTTACCTTAGCTACCAGCGCTTTGAGGGGCCAAGCGCTTAACTGGTTCAAATGTATCGGCAGAAGAAAGTCTCTTGGGTCAAGCAGGAAGTCCCACCTATACTTACGAAAATTTCAAGACTGCCCTACTAAAAGCCTTCCCTGTTGTAAGGGATCGTGCGAAAATTAGAAACGGAACTTTTCAGTATATATCAACAAAGAATCGAAAACCTCTCGAAGCTTTTTTTTAAGAAAAATTC